CCTACATGTGCTCTAAGCAAAATAAGGATTTGACTTTGAAGTAGTCTTTTTGGAATCGAAATAAAAATCGTATTACCGGACGTAACAGATTATTGGATGGTTACGACGATTATGCGCGGGTTAGAGGTACATAATAGAAGAAAAGAAAGATCAAAACAATACTTCATTAAAAACCCAGTGACCTCAATTAAAAAGGGAAGAAAAAGACATAAGACATCAGTAAAGTTACAAGACCTTTGACTTTACTTGACTAAGACCAGATAGAATTACCTTAGAACTTGAATTGTTGTTGTAAAAATGGATCTGGCTATGCGGTTTGTCTGAATCCTTCAATTGTTTGTTGTGTTGATATACCAAAACTAGCTACATTTTGATCGAAACTGATTCCACCTATAGATGTCCCAAACCCTTGTTGAGTTTCTGGAAATCCAATTGTATTTTGTCCAAAAGTAGGTGTTCCAAACGTGAATAGTTGATTGGTATTAGAAGCTTCAAATGTGTTTTGAGGTGTTCCGAATCTCTGTGGTTGCAGTTGTCTAAATGCACCACCACCACTACCAAATATTTCAAATGAGGATTGTTGTTTTTGCTGTTTTTGTGACTCGAATCTGTTGAGTGAATTACACAAGTCTTTAAGAAAAGAATCTATTTGTGTTTGTGTACAATTTTCCATATCCTTAACACCATTTTGCTATTTGGTATATAAAAATATATTTTGAGATTATCTATGTACTGCGGTATTGTGATCCTCTTGACTTCATTACTTGTCTCCAAAGAACTAATTGATACAGTTTTGTAAATATAATAGAAGATAATTGGTATAAAAAATATCTATAAAATACATACATATTGTATATTATTTCCGAAAGTTCTCATAATTATATAATATTGAAGTTGCAATTCTTCTGATAAGTAGTCCATACCATATACTAGATTGGGTTCTTCTTTTCTTGGTCCATAGACCGAGTACCGATATATAGGCCGGGCTTGAAGGTGCAGTGTTTGAGTCACAAAACTATAAAGCTGAGTTAAGTTTTGTTGAATATATTATAGGTTGGCTATAACTAGTTATGTTGTCATGATCAAACAAATTAAATGTTGATCATCATCTCTATACTACGGATATGAATTAACTAAATATTTTGTCAATAGCAATAATGACTTAAAGTTAGTATATTTTTTGCAAATATATATATATAATTACCTTATTTATATATATATTACTAACAATTGTATTATATTTAGTGTTATAACAACTAATTAACTTATCGTCACTAGACATTATACGTATTAGTGCTTAAATATTACATATTAGCTATCGAATAAGCTTTGAGCTTAAACATTATATTAACTATCGAAAAAGCTTTGAGCTTAAACATTATATTAGCTATCGAAAGAGCTTAATTAATGTAATGACAATATTACGTATATCATTTTTTCTCATAATATACTAGTATTTTTTTTAATATAAATACAGCCATGTTTTCTTTTTAATTTCACATTTTTTTTTCGTAAAACATTATTGAAAATGGGTACGTTTAGTCACTGCATCAAATTGAGCAAAATCTAAATTTGCCTTTTGTTAATATCTAAATTTTTTATAGAATACGCACGTAAACAAGAAATTTTGAGATTATTATATTTAATATCTCTATACGATTCAGGACATATCCAAATGATTCAATTTCTTGATGAAGAAATAACAATTACTTATACAAACAATAAGCAAACCCAATTTTATTTTGAAACGGTGAGGGCATATAATAAAGATGGCTTCGAGAATAAGATAGCTGATAATCTCAATACAATGCTTATTGTAAGCGAAGACCCTAGCGTTGAGGGTAATGAAGATGCAATTGTAAAATATTATTCATTCGATTTAGGTATATGATTTTAGCTTTATTGCACTTAACAAAAGATAAGCTTGTCTTTTGTTAATATATTTTAATTTATACTTTTGATTAAATTTAAAGATATCGAGAAAAATATTGATCCGAAAGAAGGAAATAATAAAGATGACAACGCAAATTTTGATCTGAAAGAAGGAAAAGAAGTATATAATAAAGGCAACCAAGACAAAAGGAAAAGCAATAATATAGAAAAGAGTGTAGCAAAAAAAAATAAAATAAGTATGGCGGAGGAAAGTGAAGATGAGTCTGAAGAAAACGTTGAAAATGGTAAATTAATAGAGGGAAAAGAAGAGAGTAACAAAGTGGAAGGAAATGAGATAGAAGAAATAGAAGACGACAAAGAAGAATTTGGAGATAACGACAAAATTGGAGATAACAACGATAAATTTGGAGATAACAACGACAAATTTGGAGATAACGACGACGAATTTGGAGATAATGACAATAAAGATAAAGAAGAAATAGTAAATAAAAAAAGAAAGATTAAAGAATTACAAATCAGTAAAAAACGTATGTATAAATAAATAAATAAATAAATTCTTTTATAAAATGAATATTTACTAATCATAGTTTTTAATTTTGCAGGATTTAAATCTGATATTACTTTAACTAGTAATAAGCTAAAGGCTGCAAAACTGTATAAAGAATTTCTCTTATTGCACCATTTTTTGATGACAATGCACAAGTTCGTAAATCAGATTTTTATAATAATATAAAGAAACATTTGAAA